GGGTGCGGGGGGGTGGGGTTTGGGTTGGGGTTTCTGTCTCGGGAAGTGTTGTTTTTATGTTATAATTGATGTCTGGTCAATCCTCTTGTTATTCTTAATCAATGCTTCTAGGCCTATCTATGGGATTGGAAGAAGGAAACTTTCACTTGAATTTTTATTTTATTGTCGTGGTGGCAAAACTTCTTAACAATTTGGGAGGCCTCAAATGTGTGTTGTTCTTTTTTTTTTTGTTCCCCAGATCATGCCCTTATTGATTTCTCCACTTTTCTCCTTTCCTTTTAACATTAGTAATGTGTAGTGCCTATGGGATGCTGCAATCAGTCTAATGGTGAGGGATGCCCTGATGTTTTCACGTTCTTTTGAAATGTTATACACTTTAGCCTTTACTAGATTTTGTCTCTGAAGCATTTATGAAACGATGTTGGAAGTTGGAAACACTAATGTTTGTAGCTCCGACTCTTATAGTCATTTAATTTGTGAAAGAAAAGAAAAATTGATGGTATATTTTTATACAGAGAAAGTTTGTACGAGGATGAAGAATTTGATCAGCATCAACGAGAACTTGCCGCGCTACTTGTGTCAAAGGTTAAAAAAGCAACTCCATGGCTTTCCTTTGCCTCTTTCTTTCTCTTTTTTTTTTTTTTTTTTTTTTTTTTTTTTTTTTAATTAGCATTCAAAATATTTTTTTTTTTTTTTTTCTTTTTTTTTTTTTTTTCTGAACTAGCATATAATTCACTCTTTGAAAAAGTGAAATGCTTCTTTTCAAAAAAGAAAAAAAAAGTATTTTCTTTAATTTCACGGTCTTCGTTTGTTCGTTTATCCATCTAAGTCTCTTTACTTCTGTCAATACTGTTTGCATGGTGTTTTGCTACCTTGGTCCTTTCCTTAATGGATTCTTTACTTTCCCCCGACTTAGGTTTTCTATTACTTGGGTGAACTTAATGACTCCTTATCATATGCCCTTGGAGCTTGTTCCTTGTTTGATGTCTCAGAGGATTCTGATTATGTTCACACTCTTCTTGGTAAGAATTTTTTCGGATATCTCTGTATAATTCAGTGATGAGAAATAGTATGTCTGCTCTTGAGGTGGTGAAACTTCTTTTGCACTTTATTTCTGTAACCTGTGAAGGTAGCATTGGAGATTTTTTTTTCCCCTTTTGATCTTAGGATTCTAATTATGTTCATACTCTTCTTGGTAAGAATTTTTCTCTGATGTTGCTTTATATTTCAATTAGGAGAAATATTGCCCCCGTTTGTTTCACTGGTTTATTTATGTTCAATTTAGTTTGAACGGTGAGCACAGTTTGAATTCATGTTTGGTAAGCACTCAATCCAAATTATATTTTCCATTTGAACTGAGTTAAACCGTCCAACTTAGAGTTCAACTCTTCCCTAAAGTTCAACTATTCAAACCATTTTTGAATAGTAAAAAAGTGCCAACTCTCTCAGCTTTGCACACCTACCAAACACAAATTCAAATTTTATTCCCTGTTCAGATTAAAATTTTCATTGCACATCCAAACACTAATTCAAACTACAATTTAAACCATACAGTTTGAATTTTTCTGTTTAAATAAAAAAGTTCAAATCAACAAAATTCAAACTAGTGAACCAAATGGGGGCATCGTTTTCTCTTAGGCAGTGAAACTTCTTTTACATATTAGTTCCGTCACATGTGAATGTAGCATGGGAGAAGGTTTAGTTAAATTGAAGGTCTTGTTGGTCTTCTATTTGAAGATACTTGAGTTAAATTTTATTTATATGACGTTATGGTTGTTTTATTCTCTTCTTCAGCTAAAGCTATAGATGAGTATGCCAGTCTTAGATCTAAGGCAGCAGAATCCAGTGATGAAGCAACAAAGGTGGACCCTAGGTTGGAGACAATTGTTGAGAGAATGCTGAATAAGTATGCATATTTGTGCTCGTTTGCCTCCGTCTCTTACCTTAGTTATTATTTATCTTACCATTTTTATTTCAATTTAGGTGTATTGTTGATGGAAAGTATCAACAAGCTATGGGAATTGCAATTGAATGTCGAAGATTGGATAAACTTGAGGAAGCAATCACAAAGAGTGATAATGTTCAGGGAACTCTATCGTACTGTATTAATGTCTCTCATTCCTTCGTGAATCTTCGTGAATATAGACGTGAGGTGACTATTAGAATCTTCTTATATCATTAGTGATGTATATTTGCCTAGCTAACCGTGTTTTCTCCCTATTGGGTATTTTGGTGTTATTTAGATCGCCCGATTTAAAATAAACATGTTATCTTAGTGTGTTCGCTTTTCTTATTTTTTCATTTCTTTTTTAACTGCTATTCGATAATCATGTTCGCATGATAATAACTTGCTCTTTGCTAATGCTTTCTATAATGGTGATCAAAAAGACATTAACTGATGAAATTTGAAGGGAAGTTGGTGTTGCATGGGATTTTCATTGTTCTTTTGTCTCAGTTTTATGGTATTACTTAATGGAGTCATGCCACTGTGACATGCAGCTTTGTTGCTCCTATGGAGATTGATACATATGATTTTTATCTTTGATGTTCTGTCAGGTACTTCGTCTTCTGGTTAAAGTATATCAAAAGCTGCCTTCTCCAGACTACTTGAGCATTTGTCAGTGTCTCATGTTTTTGGATGAACCTGAGGGCGTTGCAAGCATTTTGGAAAAGCTCCTTCGTTCTGAGAACAAGGATGACGCCCTCCTGGCTTTTCAAATTGCTTTTGATCTTGTAGAGAATGAGCATCAAGCTTTTCTTTTAAATGTGAGAGATCGGCTTCCAGCTCCCAAATCTCAACCTAGAGAGTCAGAGCAGCCAAAGTCCAGTGAGGCTGATTCTGCTCAGAATGAAACTTCTGCTTCAGAGGATGTTCAAATGACCGAGGAAAGTTCACGTGAATCAGATCCAAGTGAAGTGCTATATGCTGAGAGGCTGACAAAAATTAAAGGAATTCTGTCAGGGGAGACATCAATAAAGTTGACTTTACAATTTTTGTACAGTCACAACAAGTGAGGCAGTCATTTCCTATAAATCTTTTTTGATTACCTTTAGTTTGTTATATATGATTTGGTTCCCAAGGAAGGGTATTGAACAAAATCTTACATTTTTCGGCTATGATTTATGTATAGATCGGATCTACTTGTTTTGAAGACCATAAAGCAGTCTGTTGAAATGAGAAATAGCGTATGCCACAGTGCCACAATTTATGCTAATGCGATTATGCATGCCGGAACTACTGTGGACACATTTCTTAGAGAGAACCTTGTAAGTTAGGCTTATTATTGGTCTTTCATCAATCCCTTTTGGTTTTAATTCTTTTTTATTAATTTGTAAATAATTAAATTATCCTTCAAATTGTCAGGACTGGTTGAGCAGAGCCACAAATTGGGCTAAATTTAGTGCAACAGCAGGGCTAGGTGTTATTCACAGAGGCCACTTGCAGCAGGGAAGGTCACTGATGGCACCTTATTTGCCTCAGGGTGGGGCTGGTGGTGGTGGCAGTCCATACTCAGAGGGTGGTGCTCTGTATGCTCTGGGTCTCATTCATGCCAACCATGGTGAGGGCATCAAGCAATTCCTTCGCGATAGCCTACGAAGTACCAATGTTGAGGTGATTACTGATTAATTGGAATTCATATTGTTCTTCAGTATACCATCTTATCATCAAATCCTCATGAGGCTATTTTAATGCACAGGTTATTCAACATGGTGCATGCTTGGGTCTTGGTTTGGCAGCCTTGGGAACTGCTGATGAGGACATCTATGACGACATTAAAAGTGTGCTTTATACTGACAGTGCTGTTGCTGGTGAAGCTGCTGGCATCAGTATGGGTTTACTCATGGTTGGAACCGCAAGTGAGAAGGCTAGTGAGATGCTTGCTTATGCACACGAGACACAACACGAGAAGATCATTAGGTAAAAGTGTTTTCTTTATGTGGGTGTTTATTCAAGACCTATATTCTCTCAGTACTGTTTACATGGATGGTGTGTTACAGGGGACTAGCGTTGGGAATCGCCCTTACAGTCTATGGAAGAGAAGAAGAAGCTGACACATTAATTGAGCAGATGACACGGGATCAAGATCCTATACTACGTTATGGTGGTATGTATGCGTTGGCGTTGGCCTATAGTGGAACAGCAAACAACAAGGCTATCCGCCAGCTGCTCCACTTTGCTGTATCAGATGTGAGTGATGACGTCAGAAGGACTGCTGTTCTGGCACTTGGTTTTGTCTTGTATTCTGAGCCTGAGCAGGTTTGCGCTCTCTTCTCCTTTCACTCCTTTGACATTCATTCTTTATTATCCTTTCTCTGCTTTTGTCGCTTGAAATTTCATTTTGCTTGATTTCCTACTTCCCAAAATCTTGCTATCTGACCAAGAGCTGGTTGGTTCTCTCATGTATCTCCGATCCTATGCTTTCTGATCCTGCTGTCCTTGTTCTTCACAATGTCTGTTGTCAAATGAATGTGTTTCATGCATGTGCCCATGTTTGTAGTGTACTATTGTGAATGGTACTAGAGTGTTTTTCTTCCTCCGGTGTTCAGATAAATTGCTTGATCTCATTTGTTTTCTTCATGAACTGCAGACACCTCGAATTGTTTCCTTGTTATCCGAGTCTTACAACCCACATGTTCGATATGGTGCGGCTCTTGCAGTGGGGATCTCTTGTGCTGGTACCGGGCTAAGTGAAGCTATATCCTTGTTAGAGCCGTTGACATCTGATGTTGTTGATTTCGTTCGGCAAGGTGCCCTCATTGCAATGGCTATGGTCATGGTTCAGATCAGTGAAGCCAGTGATTCTCGTGTTGGAACATTCAGGTATCACTTGATTGCAGATCTTCTGAACTTTCTAGCTTATATTTTATTACTTTATGGTTAGTTAAGTTCTGTGATTTTACGGTGTTGTAGACGACAATTGGAGAAAATAATTCTTGATAAGCATGAGGACACGATGAGCAAGATGGGAGCCATCTTGGCCTCTGGAATTCTCGATGCTGGTGGGAGGAATGTCACCATAAGGTTGCTTTCTAAGACAAAGCATGATAAAATTACTGCAGTTGTGGGTCTTGCTGTTTTCAGCCAGTTTTGGTACTGGTATCCACTTATCTATTTTGTAAGCTTGGCATTCTCTCCTACGGCTTTTATTGGACTGAACTATGACTTGAAGGTTCCTAGGTTTGAGTTCCTATCACATGCAAAACCTTCACTTTTTCAATACCCTAAACCAACTACAGTACCCACGACTACATCAGCTGTAAAACTTCCTACTGCCGTTTTGTCAACGTCTGTGAAGGCTAAAGCTAGGGCTAAAAAGGAGGCTGAGCAGAAGGCAAATGCTGAGAAGGCGGCTGGTGCAGATTCTGCATCTGCTAGTGCAAGTAGTGGCAAAGGCAAAGCATCCGCTGACAAAGATGGAGACTCCATGCTGGTAAAATAACTTATTGCTGCTTTCTTCTGCTTCATAATTGAATTAATTGTTTCTTGAGTACTCTGTATCTTTGTTGCATTTATCTAGAGGTTTCTATAGTTCATCTGTTAAATGTCATCAGATTTTCTTTAAGGAGTGATGGTAAAGACCTTTTATTCATTTTTTCTTTATCACACGAGGACATTTGTGGCTAAAGCTTTGTATTTCCAAGTTTTTATAATGCATGTTCACCATCGATGGTTTGTGATGACTATTTTCTTATTAGAAGATCCAAATAGATTACCATGATATTTTCATTCCTTCATGTGTCAATCATCATAATTATGTTCTGTACCCCGATCCAATCTCTCTCTGCAGGTTGATAATGCCCCCTCAGAGAAGAAATCAGAGCCTGAGCCTTCTTTTGAGATTCTGATTAATCCAGCCAGGGTTGTTCCTGCTCAAGAGAAATATATCAAATTTCTGGAAGAAAGTAGATACATTCCGGTGAAGCTAGCACCTTCAGGATTTGTTCTTCTTAGAGACTTGCGACCTACTGAACCTGAGGTGCTCTCACTCACAGATACACCCTCGTCTACAGCATCTCCCGCCGGCGGATCAGCAGCAGCACAGCAGGGTTCTGCTTCCACTATGGCAGTTGATGAAGAGCCTCAGCCTCCGCAGCCTTTTGAATTCACCTCGTGAATCTGATTGCGGTCTCATTTTCTTCATTTCCAATTGGGTGTGATTTTCATGGTCTTAGTGAGGGACAGATGGTGGGAATCTTATTAGGATTATGCAAAATTGCTACAAGCACTCTTCTGCGAGCCCCAGTTGTTACGGCAAATCCAAAGTTCGATTTGCAGCCATATGATTTCTTCATGTTCAGCTACTTTCCTCCCCTCAGTTATGGTCGATCTGTAAACTGTTTCTCAATATTAATTTTACATTTATGTTTTAGAGTTAGGAGTTGGGAGAAACATAGTAGCTGTTATGGCCTTGTTGGGAGGAGTGAAAAACCAAATGTATTTTTGCTGTATAATCCTTCTCCATTGGCTGAGGATATTGTTTTCTCAAGACCCTGGGGACTGAAGGAGGCCAAGGATAATGCTTTTTAATACTGTTGCAGGTTGCGCTGCTCATTTATTTTTCTTTTGTTTTTCATTTTGCTTCTATGCACTAGTTTTCTAGGAAGAGATGCTCTCTCGTTGTTGACCTTTAAGCATACATTTACTCTTTATTCAGTTGAGCAACATTTTATTCGAATCTTGAAGTCTCTTTTATATGTTTTGTTTTTGGTTGATAGTAGTGGGCTATGTAGATCTATCATGGAAAACTTGATTTTATGACAAAAGGAAGTAATTACGTCCATTTTAAGATCTCGATTTTTGAAATTGTCTATTTTTTCATAATATTATGATCCTTAAATTGAGCCAAAAAATATATATATTATAATCATTCCTTTCTTTTTTTTAGGTTTTTTTTTTTTTTTTTTATGGACACCTCAACTTTATGAATTTTTTAACTTTGGATTTTAATCTTGAACTTCGAGCCTATTTGGTTCATAGATTAGAACCATGAGATTAGAATTATTTTTTATTTACGTGTATTTTTTATGAGAGAAAATACTGTAGCGAATCATGAACCATAATTCGAATCAGAGAACGAATCCTCTAACAAAACAGGTTCGACCTTTTATACTTTGAAATTTATTATAATGTTGGTCAAATTTAAATTAAAATAAATAATTCGGATGGTTTCTTCTACATGAATGTTTAGTGAGGTTAATTTTGATCTTTTTTTTTCATTGAATTGATCCCCGACATCATGATGGTAAAGGTTTTTAAAATTGGAGATTAATCGTTTTGAAAGAAATTTTGGGATTCCCCAATTTCAAAATTTTTCAGTCATGATGTGTATAGGGAGACCAATTCAATTCAAAAAGCTTAGAATTAACCTCATTAAATGTTCACGTGAAAAAAACTGTCTAAATTTTAAACTTCTTTTTAAATTTGACCAATATTATAATGAATTACAAAGTTTCAGGGCTAAATTGTCAAGAGAAAAAATTTAAAGACCAATTTACCAAATACGTAAGGTTGAGAGGTGTCTGTACAGAAAAACTTTTTTTTTTTTTTTGTAATAGTTGTTTGTGATATGAATTTGGCCTTTTTTTTTTTTTTTTTTTTAATGAATCATCAATATAAAATTGCAATCTTTACGGTAATAACAGGGTTGCATATTCCATATAAAAATCCGACCTTTTTGACTTTTTTTATTGTATTTCGTTATGAATGTTTATAAGTTGAAGTCTTTGATGTAATGATCATAGTTGTACACAAACATTTGACCTTTTTAAATTTATGGACATTTCATTATCATAAAATTGAAATCGTTATTGTAATGGTAATATTCTTATATTGTACACAAACATTCCACCTTTTTATATTTTATATTCTCCTATTATTACAATATTATTAAGAGGTATAAAATTTAATGTTTTTTGAACAGTGACTTTACGATTTTACCCCACTTTTTTGTGTTTAATACCCTCTATGTCCCTCATACTTTTTTTTGCCCTTTATACGTGGTTTCCTCTCTTGCTTACATGTGAGCTGTAGTGAGTGAATTCCACCCAATTGAATTTTGGCCACGTGTTATTCTTTGATGGCCCGCGACTAAGAATTTGGTCCAAGTGAGCAACAAGAGTACAATAATGACTATATATTTTGACTTATTCCGTATGAATTTTGAGATTATTAAATTTTATTTTTTATATTTTGGAGACATAATGAAGTGGATAGTCGAGAATATTAATATACGAGATAAAATCTATTCTTTTTTTAAAAAGAAGTAAATAAATAATTCTCTTGCAATGTTGATTTGGTACTTGGAGTAGTATGAGCGCTCTAGTTCATGAATTTTTTTTATGAATCACTATCCATTAGAGAATTAATGGTACTCAAAGATAAAGATGTAATTTAAGAGGTTAACGGATTCCACCTAGCTCTAATTATGAATTATTTATGGATGATTAATCTTTATGTAATGACTATATCAAATGGACACTTCATAGTTTGGAAGTAAATTATATCTATAATTTCAAGAGTGCAATTCCAAGTTTATAGTGGATTAACTTTAGAATTAATAGAATTAATTAATAATTAAAGAGTTTAATTAATTATTAATTCTATTAGAGCTCAGAATTATAGGTCCATGAGTCCACGCGTCGTCCTTGTAAATCTACAAGAACACTAAGGACAAAATGAGAATTTTAGAATTATGAAATTCTAAAATAAAACATTCAAAATTAATTAATTAAGAAATAAATTAAATATTGAATGATGTGATTATTTAATTTGAATTTTAGAACACACATGTGATAGAGATCACAAATCTCACACGCCTATAGTAGATAGAATTCATCTGGGATTCAGTTGCTTGCTCTCTAAGTTATCCGATTGACTTATTTGATATGTTATCCAATTGGAATTCAAATTAAATTAAGTTTGACTTTAATTGAAATTTGAGTCAAAATTGGACAACTGGATAAAGGAGAAATTTTATCTCCTCCTATCTAGAGTAGGCACCAACCATAGGGAGCTTATTCCTGTGGTGACCGAATTTTATCTACAGCAGGAAAGAGAAAATTGTTCCAAAATTAAATGAGAATTTTATTTGATTTTAAATAGGATTTAAAATTAAATATTATCTCCTATTTTTTGAAACCTTATCTTAAAAGATAAGATATAGTTTCTTTATGACGTTAAGAGGTACTCTATGAATAGGAGGTTGTAGAAAATTAGAGAACATAATTTTTCTCCCTTCCCCTATGAGATAGGCATGTAATATTCTGTCAAACAACGTGTAATATACTAGTGATAGCCGTGTAACCTCCGAAAGAAAAGGAGAGAAAAAGAGAAGAAAAGTTCTTCTATTCCCAGTTCCACATCATGTATGTATTAGTGTTCATGGAAGACTTGAGTGTTTTGAGTGCTAATCCTATTTTATTTTCAGGTATGTCCACACACATGTTTTTCGTAGATTCAAGAAATTGATGTGGAAAATTCGGGTATTCCAAATAAGCTTGGAGCGAGGAACGTGAACTCAAGTCATCGACCTAATTGTTCGCTAGGTAAATTTATTCTTAAATTAATTTAATTAATTTATTCGTGCATAAATTAATATATACTATAGAGTATCTCAAAGGTTTATTAAAATTTTTGTTATACACATCTGCTAGATACACATTTTTGCATAGAAAATCGTTTTTAAAACCAACAGTAAAAGGACATTAATCAAGAATAAGGGTCACAAATCTAGATGCATACGCTCTTAAAGGTAAATTTTGTAATTTGCTATAAATAAATAAATAAATCAAACCAAACCACTTACTATCTGTTTGGTCGATTTAATTTGGTCTGAACGCCAAATAATTTTTATTTTGACATTCGATTTTAGAGTTTCTCATTTAAGTCCAACATAATAACATTGAAATATTATAAAATTTTCTACCCTTAAAGATAGTATCCAATATTATAATTTGTTACAGGCACACTTTACTATTTCAAAATCTATTAATACGAAAATTTATTAAAAATATATATGAAAATTTCATGTGTATTTTGGATCGGTTTTGAAATTTCAAATTCTAGTTTTTTAAAGATGTAACTTTTTGATAGCCTAATTAACCCATGCAGTGCACACAAGCAACTGTGAATGTAAAGACCACCGAGTATGGTGCCCCAGTAGTAATATAGAGTACCGTGATGGTTTTGTGATCACAAATTTGAGTGTGATTACCCCTATAAGAGTAGATAAATTTAAAGATGTACGAACGGCCCGGCTCAGCCCGTTTTCCTTAGGCCCACGCGGGCCGTGGACCGGGCCAGCCTAGCCTACAAATTTGTGGACCAGCCTGGCCCGGCCTAGCCCGTATAAGAATTACCTCGGTCCAGCCCACACCACGAGTCAAATTTACGTGGGTCAGGCTGGGCCGTGCCTTGAGCCAAGATGGATTGTGTCATGGGCTTTGAATGGGCTGGCCCATTTAAGGCCCATCATGGGTTTAGATAGGCCAATCCATCTATTAAATTTTTTATTTTTTATTTTTAAATTTTTAAACAAGTTAACAAATATAAAAGTTTGAATAGTAAAAGGAAATATGAAAAATAATATTTTATTTACGATTGCTTCATTAAAAACCTTTACAAGAAAAACCCGGTGGGACAAAATCTTAGTAAGAAAAAAAGAGTACAATCAAGATAATTATACATAAGATGTTATAAAATTATTAAAAAAAAAGATAAAAAACATAAAAAAAATAAATATTGTTTATAATTACAACGTATTACTCCCAGTGGGAGTATCATAAATGTCCAAATTTTCCAAGTCATCAACAAATGAGAAGTTGCCCCATTGTGGGCCTATATGAGCCTTACACGGGCCAGCCCATTATGGGTCTAGACAAGCCAGCCCGGCCCGGCCCAAGCTCGTCCTAGTCTAAGATTTTTCATAAGCTGTGTTGGTCCGGCCCATGGACTGATATATGTTGACCCAGCTCAACCCACCAATATTTATAGATTAGGCCGTGCCTTGAACAATAACGGGCCGTGCCAGCCCAACTCATTACTATGTCAGAATGGGCCTGGGCCCACCTACGAATTCCGGCCATTGTTGCATCTCTAGAGAAATTATAGTAAATAGGCCTACTTTTAGAACTTGTTGAAGTACGTAGCCTGTTTACCCAAGATTACAAATGGATAGGCCTTTTCCAACTTCTAATATTTTGTTTTCCAATTTTACCCTTAGTTATAGGATTTTTTTAAAAATTTTCTCAGATTATTTTTCTTTTCTCCTTCTACTACTCTCTCTCTCTCTCTCTCTCTCTCTCTCTCTTCTTTATCTCTCTATCCGTCTCCTCCATCTCTCATCTTTGATGGAGGACCTCACGGTGGCGTTGTTGGATATGGAACCACGACAACGATAAGGAAGAAGTCGCCGGAATCTCGAACAGAGCTTGCTGTGGTGCCGGAAGTGAGATCTCACCATTCAAGATTTGCCAGCGCCAGTGCTCCTAGAGAGAGAGAGCAGAAGAGGAGAGTAGGACGATGCTTGCGATCACCGTCTGAGTTTCCCACCGATTTTTGCCGTCGTGAGAGGAGGGGGAGAGGACAAAATTGGGTGCTGGGTTGTATCGGAAGGGAGAAAATAAGATTGGAGCATTTTAGGAATTTTATGTGGGTATAAATATGGATTTACACTCT